AGTACAAAATTTGCCTAATTGATCAGACCTTCATTGCCATACATAATTTAAACAAAGTAAACATTGAGGTGTGCCCTGCGGAAAGACTCACAAAAATAGATATGACCATAGTTGGCGAAAATGTGTAACGGAAAATTCTAATCTTTTTTCGTCTGTCATAGAAATTGTCACAGACGCCTGTCTGAGAGGAGGCAAGCTGTTTCATTCTTGACGCAAATGGTTTGTATAGAGATTACAGAAACTCTCCAGGGCAATTGAGCTTCGCCTTTTCATGATATTAAAGTAGAATTGAAGGAGAGAAATACTGGAGAGGAGTGTTTCGTAGACGCCAAGATTATTTCCATGGAACAGAACAACGTCAAACGCATTAATATTTATAATGACGCCCGCAAAAAGAAAATATGCGAAAAAAACAAACACAAAGTTTGACAAACTTAGCTTGATTACAAAGACGCCTCAGGGTAAGACACCAAGCCTTGTAAGGTTACTTACGTAGGAAATAATACGAACATAAATAATTAATCGACAGGTGGTATTAATAAAGTCGTGTAACCAAAGCCGTATCCTTATCTCTTTAAATATCATATATTTTCTCAGATATATCAATGATCTCCCTTATTTGTGGGCTTGACGCCTTTATATATAACAATTGCATGTTCTAACCGACGCCACTATCTTAAAAAGATGTTACGAGTTCAAGTTAATTGTTTGGCGAATAATTTACTGACAAACACGTCTTTTTGCAGCCTTGGCGACTCTATAGCGCAAACAAACTCCATTCTCTTGCTTACTAGCCTTGAATTCCACCGCTAAAAGTTTCTTTCATATAAAGTCTCTTTGCAGCAAAGGTTTAAGCAGTACTCATAAGGGTGTCCTAACATAAGTTACAGCAATTAAGATCTCTGAATGGACGCCTAATGAAAAGATATCTCAGTTGTGTTGTAAATACATCGCTACTTTTCCACGGGTGATCTTAACACAAGTCATAGACCTGACGCGTATTTTGTGTCTTTGCTGCGATTTTGCAGCGACTATTCTTTGCAATGATATGATCTTAGTCTAATACATCATAAATGAGTCAAAGCCTCTTAGGCTTTCACCGTTTCTATCGGAACTTGATAACCTGGCCGCTTCTCGCTCTATCTTTGCCAAGATCTCCTCGAAAAACATGTCATTATCGAACAAATCTTGATGGCGATATAACGGATTGGTGTGTACTTTGTGGGTAGATATATCGTCCACTAAGTTACCCTCACTTTTACTTTTTTTCATTCCGCCACGTTTGACAGATCCTCTGATCGCCATGTCGCTCAATTTTCGCGGTCTTGACGTCTTTTTGTGAAGTCTCCATGTGCTATATGATGTTCCCATGCCTGATTTCTCGTCAAATAGACTTGATTGAGTGGAATCCTTAAATTTAATCCTTAAAGACTCTGTACAAGTTTCGCCTTCTCGCGTTTTCCAAGCGCTTCATCTTTTCTGCCGCGGTAAGGGAAATATCTCTGAGTCTCATTCAGTCTCTGGCCCTCTACAAATTAACTTCAACCTAAACGTCTGACATGTTTCCTCCGGGAAAAAGCATTTTGATCGCAGCTGTGAAAGAACAGACTGAGAAGAACGCTTTTCTTTTTCTTAATAAACTTCCAGTTCAAGTTGGCCAGGTTTCATTAAATAAACTATATTATTGTATTTTCGAGGTTGAATTATTGACGTAGGGAACTATGTCAACCAATAGGAGGTCCGCACTACAATTAACGTTTGGAAACGCTTCATTCAATTTTGTTTCAGTAAATGACATGAAGTCGGAGTATTTGAACTGAATAATAATTAGATGCAAGAGCATGAAAAACTTTGTATTGTTAAACCCTCGACTCTCAAAATCTGATTGTTAATCTTCCCCTGTGGCTGCTACACATTTCCTTGTAAATAAGTTACGAGAATTTTGTGTCAGAAACCTTGAAAGAGGATAAAAGAAAAAAGTAGGAATTTGAATACCTAATTTAACAATTTTTCAACGAATTTCTTATTTTTTTTTTAATTATTGTAATTACATGAACGTAAGAGTACCCACTGAGCGACAAAAGTGGATGTTGGATGCTTCACCATTGAAATTCTTACAGATTGAAAATCTATTCCAAGACCCATCTCTCTGCCATATCCTTACTGATAAGACTCTTGGGAACTTGGAACTCCAAATGTGCATTCTGATCTGTAATCTTAATACACTCTCTCTGAAACAGTTGGTTATAACCATCATCAAAGTACTTTGAGATGTCGGTTTCACCAGTGTTGAGAGGCTTCTCTAGAATTTCCACAAGGGATGCCACAAAAGGATAGAAGTGACTCTGCAAAGATTTTAGTTCCCACAAGGAACTCTTCATGGCATTGCATTTAGCAGGGTCAGGTTCATCGGCAATGAATGGATCACCTTTGCTGAGATCTGCAATGTTCTCTTCTGTGCCATGATCAAGCAACAGTTTTCCCGCCTAGAAGCAAACAAACACAGATTAAATCTCACCACACAGCAAAGTTTATGTCTCTCAGGGTGGTGTCAACTACAGCCTGCACTTATACTGATTTTGAAAGCGTAAAACAGTTTAAAATATTTCACTATCTCAATCTGATTCTATACATGCAGTCAATTCTGGATTACTCCACCACATTTCTTCAAGCCTCTCCAACATATTATAGGTTCCCACTAATACTTCTGGATGAAGAAAGGTTCTGTGGATGAATGTGCCTAGTTCAGACTACAACCCTAGATTTGCCAACCACCTCTGATCAGGAAAAAAATCAGTTAAATTATCCATATCCCTGGATCTTCATTTCGTTTACTTAGGACAGATGAGTAGGTTTATTTTAGATTCTTCGTATCTGCATTTCCTGAATGAAAATTGCACCTGAATAGTTATGGAGTTAAGTTTCTAAAGAAACTGAAGTGCTGGGTTAGTGGGTATATCACAAGATAATTTGGTTTAAGAAACTGAGTTGATAATATAAATTAGCCAACGTAGAGAGTTTCTAAAGCGAACATTTCAAGTGTTAGCCTTTCGTCAGAAAGTCATTATCTTTGTATAGAGAGTTATCTAGGATTGCTTCAGCTTGCTTCATTTCATGCGGCAACTGGTCTGTAAGTAAAGCCTTTATGTGGGCCCACAGGGCCAGTGCTTAACTCCGGTTTTCTTAGCATGAACTGGCTAGGAGTATTGCTCCTCCCCCCTGGATGGGATGCTAGTCCATCACAGGGTTACCCCCAGCACATTTGCTGGTACCCATTTGTACACCTGGGTGAAGAGAAGCACTGTGAGAGTAAAGTGTCTTGCCTTAGAACACAACACAATGACCCCAGCCAGGGCTCAAACCCAGACCACCCGATCCAGAGTCGAGCGCACTAACCATGAGGCCACCACGTCTCCTTTCTGGGAGGTATTACATGATAATTTTGTTTTATTATCCGGGTTGATAATGTAAGTTTTCAAAGGTGATGTTTTAAGCATTAGCCCCTCTTCTTATTGTGTTGTTAATATTCTTTGTGATTACTTTGGTCCTCATTTTATAATAATCAATTAAAATATGTTATTATTCTAACTTACTTGTTTGCGATGGATAAGAACTGCAACACTTGGATGTCGTTTCATGAGATTGCAGACGAAAGGTATGGCCAACATTGCGCCAGATGGGGGAGCAGATAAAGCAAGGCGTGACAATCTTTTGACAAAGGCTGCCACCAGGTATGCTGGAAGATGGGTGGACATCAGGAACAAATCTGCCAAGTGGAAGAACCTTGCTTGGTACTTCAAATAAAAAATGTTTGGTTCAAACAATGCATAAAGCTTCTTAAAAAAGTCAGGATAGTCCAGGTTATACTGGTGGATAAGTACAAAAAGGCTGTTGAGTGCCAAAAGGCTTGTTACACCACCAGTGTTGTAAGAGTCAGTGAGAAAATCCATAAGCAGTTTTGGATCTGTCATGTGTGGTAACACATCTGTATGTAAGTTGAGTAAAACCTTCTTATGAACTTCAGATGACAATGGAAGCCTCAGTAGTGCAAGCCAGGCAGAACTAAAGGCTTTTTGATGATTCTTCAACTCTAGAAAGCTGTACTCATTCCTCTCACTATTTTCATTTTTTCGTTGCTTTACTTCTATCAAAAGATTCGTTATATCCTCGTTTTGCTTCTTCATTTTCACCTGGCTTAGCATTGCGAATGCATTTTCTACAAGAAACCGACGTTGGCTTTCTTCGCTATTTAAAGCGTCTCCGAGGACTTTTGTCAGATTTTTGAGCACGTAAAACCTGACATCATCATATTCTAAGTACTCAGCAAACCTTTCGATACAGTTCTTCATACTGTACCTGCCATCAAACAACGCATCGCAAGTTTTCTTAAATAGAACTGTAGGAAAACGATCGGTAGATTTCGAGTTCCTGTCGTGTTTTGCCTCCTCCACGAGAAACTTCATCAAGGTACAAAGAGCAAACTCCTTTACGTTTTGTGATCCGACACGAAGCAAATGTAGAAGCCGAGTCAAGTTCAACAAATATTTATCGTGTAGCCAGGATCTGAAAACATCTTGAGGATCTGGACTCCCTTCTTCTTCAAGGGAACGCGTTTGTTTCGACGATCGAAACAGCTTTCCCCGCGATGAAAAAGTTGTGAAAATTTTGTGCGCTGACCTTATGAATCCCACCAAAACTTTCTCGTCTTGGGTTTCTGATAATTCCAGGATATCCACAATGAAGTTTGAATTGGTATCACTCTCTAGAATAGCTTTAGTTTTCTCTTTGATTGTCTTCACCTTCTTCGCAG